GGTGCCGATGATTGCCACTGCACGCGTTTTCTGCGCATAAACTCGTTTCCTCTTTGCTCTGCCAGTTACACGTCAGCGTATTTGCTTGGTCTAATCCTTTGTGCATCAGCATTTTGTTAAATAAAACCGTTTTTTTGTAATAAAAAAATATGTTTATTTGAATTGATATAATGAAATTTTATACTTAGTAAATACATCTAAAATATAAAATATATTTAATCATGTTTGTATTCCTACTATGATGTCATATTTTTATTTTTTGTATTCTTGTGTTTTAATTACACGTTATCTCCACTGATTTTCATTATAAAAAATACTGCTTTTGATTTTGTATTACTATCAGAATTAATAAAATGAACAGTTTCTGATTTATCCACTGCATTCATTTTGTACACTGATCATTTCTTGTTGATTTTAATAGTTGATAAATGATAGTGTAATGCATAGCGTATGAGCAAGTCTCTTCCTGAAGGGTGGCAAACAGAGACTCTGAATTCAGGGACGACACGCATGGATTCGTTACGGGGAATATTGATTCCCGACCGGTACGATCGGTCAGGATCGAACGTGACACACTGCCCGAAATGCATAGGTACAACCAGAGATCATGATTCAACGGATAAATTCGTCGCTAAATATTCACCCGATCGCTCGATACAAATAGGCAACCCGGGGCATATACACGGTGTGCTGTCGCGCGTGCCGCTGTCGTTGTTTCTACCTCGTCTGAATAATTCAATCCGCGCGCCGGCCATTTTCCTGTTTTCCTCGTTCGGGTCCCCCATACCACGTCGAAATGTCCAACGCGTTTAATTTTTGATGCCTTCCTTCGCCCCCGAAACAATAATACCGTTTTTCCTTGTTCGCTCCTCGTTCAGACTTTCATGCAGAGTAATTAGTTTAACGACCATGCGAGTGCAATTTCTGTTATCCATTTTAGCTCAGAGAGATGGAATTGGAGATTTTATTGGATTTATAACGAGTAAGAGTTCAGTGTGTAACAAAATGGATGTCATGTTCACACTTTATGTAGAAAATTTTCGCCACTTTCAACGAAATTTATGAACAACTCTACCTGCCTTGAATATTATCTATTGCAACTTAAGACTTTTCTCGATTATTCACTATCCATTATAAAATAGGTTTTCGGTCGGACGAAATCAAAGGAAGGTAACGCCGAAAAGATCGACGATTTTAGGTAAGGAGTAGTGGAGGGAGGACGCGATAAGTTGACGTTGTCGTCTGATTTCGAAGCAGAATCGGAAACGAGAGGAATTCGGAATGACGCAAACATTGGCCCAGAGGCACTGTCGGTGCCGACTGAATATGAAATCACGATGAACAAACTTTAATATCCAAATGTAGATCACGGAAAAAAGGGAGCGTCGCGCCGCGTATTGCTCGTGAAGACAAGACAGGGAGAACGATTGGAAAATGTCTTTTGTGCTTCCCATTATTATTTCTCTGTCCTTGAAACGAAACTTTATTACTTGCGATATGAGCGCATCGTTTTATTACATCATACAGGTAATACGAGTTCTCTTATTGAATCGAGTACTGAAGAATGTAATAAATATTTTAAATTACTTCTGAATGCAAATAAAATAGTTTCTTTGACATTCTTCTGTTACTGCACTGGCAACGAAATGTAATCGATGAAATTCGGCAAGCATTTCGGACACAGGTGCCGCGGCGAACGTTTCAACATTAACGATATTACCTGGCATGAATTATGGAGGAGGATTCATTCGTTTCTTGATGTACTAGCAAGCAACCAACTTCGATAGCTTCAAGTATTGACGTAACAGTAATCATGATGGATTGTATAATCAATAATTACAATCATTAATTATATTTCTTAACAGGCAAATTACCTTAACCCGATGGACGATTTGTAATTGATAATATATGGATTGAATTTCGACAGAATTCGCTGCTAGAAATAGAACTGAATTACATTTTTGTACTATTATAAATAAATAATCGAAACACTTCGCATTTTTTAATAGTTTATACAAATCATAAATATAATTGTACACGAAACTGACTATCTATTACGTGTTTATTCTAGGGGCCAATACGTGTATACACAGACATTTGTAAATTTCGTCGTGCACTAATCGTAAGGCAAAGTGTCGCGAAGCTATAAAGGATAATATCGTTAAGCGATTTTGATCCAGTAGGAGGCCAGCGAACTGCAGGGGGAGGAACGTCTACTCGCAAATGAGACCAAACATGCGCATACGCCGCGTTTTGATGCAGCTTAATCGAATCAGGCCGCCAATAACGGGGTGACGCCGGAGCTATGCTAGGTGTTGCGGACACTAATTCACCCGGGGCCAACTCGATTTACGCGTCCGTGCATCCGAAATTGCATCATAAACGCGGACGATTACCGGTTACACGCTGCACCCTGGCCACACGATTACTATCCCGGCTACAAAGTGGACGATCTCGCGGTTCCTCGAATCCCATTTTTAAAACGGTCGAGAGAAAACAAGATCCTTGTCCGACCCTCGTTTTCCTAATTGAAAGTCCCTTGCGTGTTAAACTCGCACGCTGGCAAAATGTCGGAAAATATGTGGTTAAGAAATTGTCATGTAAATTCTTATATAAATTAGGTAGACAAAATAAAATATACATTCTCTCGCGTATATAAGACTTCTTTAACATGTACCTAGAAAATATATTTATGTAAGTATTATTAACCAAGAAGCTTGGTTTTAATTCACAATTTATGTTTGAAAGAGATAAGAAAATGTGTAAAACTCTTATGCGGACATTAAATATTGTATATCAAATTTAAAATTGTGTAGTGAGATTGCATAGAAACATCTCTTAATCATCGAACCGTCGTTTCGTTTCATCGAATACGGAAATCAGAATTCGGGTCTGGAAAACGTGGCAGTTACTCGAGGATAGAGTTTCGGCGCTACTAATATCGGGGAAATATGAAATATCGGTCGTATGATGCCGATTGAATCCTAAAGCGGGTGGACGGGCCGCTTATTGAACTCTATCGCGGATTGGCGCGGCGGACTTTCTTTATTCCCGGCAGGGAATCGGGACTCGTCATGAATGCAGCTCGGCGAAGCGGCGCGACGCGACGCGGGTATCTCTTTAAGGGAAACGGATCTCGAAGTCGGATCTCGAAGAGACCCGGGTCAATGGCTTCCCGCTACAAGCCGGGTTATAATCCCATAAGTCAGAGCCTGTGACCGGCGTTCAAACAAATATCGAACGCCGCGCCGGCCAGACGATTCGACCCTCTTCTACTTTTATTTCCACTCCTGTCCTCGATTCTTCCTTTCCTGGTTATCAAATCGATCTCCATGGAAAATGTAAAAGTATCGATCTTCGGCCACTTTATTCAATTCCGTGCGATTAGCAGAATCCACGATTTCAAAGGAAATACGTGGATACATCGACTAGATGCATTTCGAATATTAGTTCTATTATTTTTTGTTTTATTATATCTAAACAGGATGAAGCGCTTTGATTATAGAGGAACTCTAGTATTACGACTGAGGAATTTCATTTGCAACGTAGAGAATGAATTTATTCCTGGAAATGAGTTTTCTTAATTTATAAACAATCTAAAGAAGAATGTGCAGAATGTGTATAAAAATTTCATAAGTATTTGTAATATACTATTTGCATTGAATTTCGAAGTTTTTTTGAAGTTGTTGACACGTCAACTTGTAAAATACGACCAGACAGCGAAAAATAATCCAACGTTCATTATCTTCCTGTTCGCGAAAATACGTGGCGTCAGCGGAACGCGCAATTTCTTTATGACTAAAAACACCGACGGCTTTGCACCCTCTCCTCGAGTATAAAACGAAATCCTGGCCGCGGTTCTTCTCTGAGGAGAGGGTGACTCGTTTCCAGAACGTCATGCAAAATTCTTCGCCGCCGGGGATAAGGATCGCTCATTCTTCCGCGAGTTAGTCAGCTCTAGCCGAGAATTGCTTTTCGCTGGTGCTGGGGTTCCAAGTTTTAAGTCGGCCACGATTCTTTGGCTTGGCAAACATTCATCCCTTCCCTCTACACCCCGTCCCTTCTCCCCATGAAGACTGATTTCAGGGCTGGGAGATTCTTTTCGCGGAAGTCATCTTACTTTTGACGCGTTTTCATTTTCCTCTTATTTTTCTTTGTCATCCGTTCCGAAGCTCCGATTTCGTTTGACAAGTCTCTCGGCTTTGCCGTTAATGACAGCGAAAAGTGATCGAGTTGACTCAATTTTGTTCAATTCACTTGTAATTAAAAAACAAGCGAAATGATTATTACTTATGGTGTGAGCTGATAATTTGCCCGATCTAATCGGTTAATTAATTTTAATTACCAGTATTCGCAGGTTTGTTAATTAAACTTTTCAGCATAGAAGATGTTCGGCGAGAAAAAGTTCAATTACGTGAGAGGGTATGGCTGGGATTAAACGAGTTGCCAATTTCAATTAAGAGCGCGATTGCGAAAGAGAATCGGTCCATCCACCTCCGAAGGAACACTATTCGGCTATGGTCAATTTAATTTCCAATTTAATTTTTAATACTCCTCGCAAAAATATTTCTATTCATTTTTCCTTCATGAGACGTGGTCACCCTTGGGAAGGGCCCTGCTCGACTCGAATACTGGCGAGCCAAGCAAAACTTGACATTTTGCACTTTACTTTCTTTTCATTCAAATTTTCCAATACATATTTAGAATTCAAATTAGTTAATAAATGTTAGAGTTTTGCTGGCAATCGTATAAAATCTTAACTCTTCCAATATTCACTTCGTATAATAAAGCGATAATTTAAAAGGGTAGGTGGCAGACCTGGGTTGGTATCGTAAATATAATTTCAGTAATGCCTAAATGTAAAAATTTTTCTATTTTTATCGCTCTACTGCTTTAATTTTTCCTTCAAACGGTAAACGAAGAAATGAAATTAAAGAGAGAAAACAAAGAGAATGATCAATCGATTGATTGTTCCCTCCGAGATGTTTGGTTTGACTTACCTGTTTAATCCAACTTTTCCACATGTCCCGGTCCCAGGGATGATGAAAGCCAAGATACAAGTGTCTCGTTTCGCGGTGGTGAGCTTGGACCTCTTGCTGCTGCTGTTGACTCTGCTGGGTGACCCTTGGATATCCAGTGATACGCAGCACGAGTTTTCCGAGGCGCGACGGGGCGTAACACACCGCGCCCCCGCTGCTGAGTTCCATCCACTCCGGTCGGGACTCTGGACAGGCTAAAACCAAGATGATCGATCGTCGAATTTAGTCATCGATCGGTTAGATCCGACTCGACTACTGTCTCGCAAAAGTAAAATTGAATCTCGCGGCTGGGTTATGAATTGATTATCCGCGAATATTTTCTATGGAACAGTATACAGAGTATCTGAGAGGTGCAAAGAAATAAGAAACGTGATAAAGTAACAGATATCGAGTTTAAAGAATGAAACTGAGCTTCTGCTTTTTAAAACTGTATTTATGAAACAGGTCAATCTAGTTACTGTCGCATCAACTAGTATAAGATTTAATTCAACACAATTTTGTTCTTCTACCAAGAAATAAATCTACCAGGTTTGCTTACTAGTTTCCAATTACTCGACCAAGCTGATCACAACTGGTGAAAATAGATAAACGATGCATCCGCTGCCATAAACACGACTTAAAAAAAAAAAGTGGAACTCGTGAAACGATGCGTCGCGCAATTAGCTGGTGAACGATAAATTCCCGGGGATCAACAGTTACCGCCACGTTTTTGACAGTGACAAACGCAGCCGAGCCGCGTCATCTAATTACACGGGGGTGGCAGCTGTCCATCGCCGTTATGCGATCTACGAAATCGTGTGACTAAACGAAAGAGAGAGAGAGAGAGAGCGAGTGATTCAGCTTTAAATCCTCGATACGTGTTTGTTTCACGCCGCGTGAGCCACGCCTAAACGCGCGCCGCGGTTTGACAACGCGGCTCGCCTGATCGAATTTTCCGGAACAGCTCTTCCGGGGAAAACACCGATGCAAATCGGATTTTATGCGGCCGCCACCGCTGCATACCCTCTATGCCGTCCTACCTGCGTCGAATAATAACGCACCGTTAGAGACTCTATTACTCTTACATGGTTCATTATCTGCAATGTGATATCCATGATAGTCTTACAATTAGTGAATACAGGAACACAGTGTTTATCGTTTGCCAAAAGATTGGACAAATAATAATTTGGAAATCATGAAGACTACTTCATCAATTAAAAACACATATAATAGATTATTAATTCATAGTTTCAATGAAAATCATGAATTATCTCAAGTATATTTTGAAATTATTTGCCTAATCTAACAAGTGTGTATTTGATATAATATAATAATTCGTTATAATGTTGTGTATCCTTATTACTTATGTATCATGTTAAATTGCTGCATACTGTAAACGAATCATTGTCTCTTTTTGCATCGCATTATGATAATTTTTGCTTAATAATTATCATACACGTATATGTGAATTTGCTAATAATGGAATGCTAAATAGAATTTCCCTTTGAATGAGTTATGTTAATTCATTCAGTGAAATAAAAAGAGAGCAATATTTTGCACAGAATTCTCGTCGGATTCCCTTGGGGCTGGGAGGGAGGGGAATTAATAATTACCGCTGATTTGTTTCCACGCGGAAACAATTGCATGGTTAATGCGTATATACGAGCGATTGTTTGTTTGATAATATTGTCCCTTCGGGAGCAATAGCTTAGGAAAGTAATCTCAGTGGGCTCATGTAATTCGATAATATCGTCCCAGGGAAAAGGACCGTCGGATTTAATTCAAAACACTATTTTATCATTTTGTCTTGTCTGAACAAAAGCTCAATCGATTAATATTTATATGTGAGAGTTACTTTGAATCCTTTTAGTTACAATTATATTTGACAATATTATCTGATTTGAAAGTAACATTTTATGTTGTCATATTGTATCATATGATTGAATATTATGTTCAAACTATTATCATGTCAGATTTAAATGAGTGTTATACTAACTATTCAATTGCAATTCGTCAATTAAGATTTTTCTTAACTATTGACTTAACTATTGACTAATATTCGATTACATAATACTGAAATCTTTTGAAATTGGTATTCCATCTTAATCATTGAGCAATATGACAAACGATTGTAATTGTTAATAAATAGTAGAATCTTGCAAAGCTTCATAATTTAAACTTACGAATCGATTCGCGAAAGAGCATTTCCTTCGACTTATTCTACAAGAATGCAATGTTGAAAGGAAAACCGTAAGTTTGGTCGAAGGTTCAATTCGATTCATTGACTCGATGGATCAAGTAGTGCGGATGCAAAGTAACAACCAAACCGTGCTTGTGGTTCTGTGGAGCAATTAAAACTTTTTGGAAAGCTTCAGAAAGCCCGGTCAACGTTTCAGCTCATTATGAAGCAATGTTGAAAAACTTTCTCTCGCGATGCTAATATTGTTAGTCAAGGAACGACGTCAAAATGGTATGGACAGAAGGGATCATTTTTACGGAAAAGTAGAATAGAATAGAAATGTACCTAAGTTAAAATTTATTGGACGGTATTAATTTTATGATTGAATAAACGAAACAACAAATAGTTGAGTATACGATTGAATAAATCATTGAGTAAATTAAGAATTAAATGATCGAGTACATGAAGAAATAAAAAATTAAGTAAATGATAGAACAGGAGATTGAACGAACGAACGAATGAATAATCGCATAAACTAAATAAATTAATGTACTATAAAGAATTAATCGAAAAAAATCTAATCAAGCTGTGTATTAAACAATATCTGCTGAGCGAATTGCTATAGTCAGTTCAAAACGCAGTTTAAGTATCTACCGCGAACAATTTAGGTAGGTGCATTAAAACTACTTGCCAACGAGGCGGACAGAACGGCACGGGATTCGAGTTTCCCTCCTCTGGTTAAATGAATTTAAGCGACCCCACTCATTAGAGGAGCCAACTTTTAGATGGTGGTGGCGAAAATTCGACCCGTTCAATCGAAAGAGACCCGTGAGAGTCTGAGACCCAAGCTAAAATTCGTTTTTCGCGTTGCGTGTTAACACACATCCTATTATTACAGCACTTATATTTTGTAATAAACATTAGTTCTGATAAAGCATAATGATACTTTTATTTGTTAAATTGTTCCCCTTTCCTTTTCTTTAACAAAAATTACAAATGAAATGTATAAGAGAAAACACAATAGCAACGTATTATTGAAATTAGACTGTCTTTCATAATATCTAAATTTTCTTGGCAATGTTACGTTTTTTTTTATCAGTTGACACATGAAAACACCTGAAAAATGCATTTTATAGATATTTGAAAATTTAAGTGAAAATAACTTGATTCTACATTTAAAAGAAAAAAGATTTGACATTGCATTGCTACAGTTTTTTGCTATTGTCAACGCAGTCAATTGATGCTAACATTCTTTACATCTCTTTTAATCCATAAGTCGTTGAGGATTTGAATGAGAGAAAGCCGAAAATGCGAGATGATCGTATTTGCCTAAACGTCAATCGGGAAGCGATGATCGCGTGACACGGGGCGTGCATGGATCTCGCGGATAATCCTCATCTCTAGATCTGAACGTGCAGATAGAAACAAAGCTAATCACGTCTGTTGGGATCGATATCTCGTCGCAAAGGGAGCGAGTCGAGGCTACCGATAGTAAATTGCCTCGCGCAAAAAACAATGCGCGGAGTTGCCGGGGATCCTGGAATGAAAAACTCAGGCCGTGTCTTGTTTCGAGTTAATCGATCGCTAACTCTTTCGGATGTTCCACAGGCTCCATACTCGGAATGGTTTCGAAAAAAATAAAACCGGAAACGAAGCGCGAAACCAAAATGAGAAAAACCCCCCGAAAAAGAGAAAAAAAATGTATCAAGCAACGTCAATCTCAAAATCGATATTCAGCGAGAGAAACACCTTGCCGTATGAATTTTAAGAGCCAATCGTTGCGAACAAAAAAGATAAAATGGAGGCAAGAGAGGAAAGAGAGGGACAAATAAAAAATGGAAAAAGATGTAATTCAGGAATGAGCAAAGATAGCCGCATATAACGCAGTCTGTCTGTTTTCCATTGCATTGTACGCCATTTATAGCCCGAGAATATCGGGGAAAAATTCCGAGGGTCCGCGACGAGAAACCGATTATTCGATTCTGGTCACGTTCGGCAAAGCGACGTTCAGCTCCGTTCAACTGCGTTGTCGTTTGATAAAAATGTCGGAATCAATGAGCGTTCGGGTAGTTATGGATATCGATCCGTTGCGCAGGTTCTTGCCAGGTAAATGGCCGCGACATTTATAAAAAAGTTTCGTAAATATTCGCATTTGTCTTACTTAAACTGTGACAAGTCGTGAATTGGCGTTTACAATTCTTTAGAATGAATTTTAGAATTGATAGTCCATTTGGCTTCCCACGATTAAAATTGAAAGTACGAAAGATCATTTAAGAAACTCTAAAACTTGTATAAGATTATTTCCAAACGTGCCGGATTTGATTCAACATTTTTTACACACTCTACGAGATGAATTTCCATTGGTAACATATGCAAGAGCTTAAAGAGCGACGAATGATTAATTTTATATATTTTCACTTTCTCTCTTCGTAAACAAATTGTTATCTGAAGGGGATCAATATAATTCTAGCTAAAGACGGGCAATTAAATCACTGTCCAACTGGTTAATTAAAACTTCACGCAGTGAATTTCGTTTTCATACGTGTACTTCATCAACTGCCAACAAAGCAGGATGCAATCCATGGGACGAGATTAGGATGAAAGAGTAAATTAGATTCGTCGGCATCAAAGAGCAAGCGGATCGACTTCAACCGGGCTAATTAGGGCAAACAAACTTAAGCCCGCGTGATGGAGGCCGCGTTAGTCACCGGCCGATTTCAAATTCACCAGTGCTTTTCGTCTGCCGCTGCGGTCTTGACCGCGGCGAACCGGAAAGTAAATCGGTTCTACCAAAAGTGCGGAAGTCAGTCTATAAAACAGCAGGCCGTTACGTCAGATCGGTTGTTTGCTGTCGATTCAACGCGTTCGCCGATGCGATGACAAACACCTGTTACTGGCAGTCCCCAGAGTTTAATCAAGCCCCCGGGGAAACTGTCCCGAAGAAGGACGACCGTTAAAGCACATCCTCCCTGAAATGCGTTCACGGAAAACGGAAAAGGTAAATTTCGAGCTGGCTCTTTGACCGATGGAGTACGCTACCACGACCGGAACCTCACGCTTATAGGTCAACAGAATCGGTTAAAGTTGTCCTCCAAAAGACATTTTAGATTACATTTAAAGGAAATTGTATTATGTTCTCGTCGTATTTAATAGGTTCAATTAATCCTGAGTAGAATTAAAATTTTTAGTTCAAACAAAATGTTAGTCAATTCAGAAACGATTAACATGAATTCTATTTAATTTGTTTCTTTGAGATAACAGTAATTTTTGGACTGAATAAACGAATGAATAAACGATTGAATAAATAAGCTGAGTATATAAATGATTGAGTAAACGAATAATAAAATGAATGGATAAATTAACGAATACCTGAATGAATAAATGATTAAATGTAAGTACGGAATACGGATTCATAGTCTTGAGAATTCACATTGAAATGCAATGATTTCCAGCTCGAGAATGAGCCAATTGTTCTACCATTATAAAAAGGGAATGAAAAGAAGATAATATTTCAATCCAGAGAAGAGTCGACGTTTCGATATCGTTGCTCGATCAACTGTGCGGACAATTCGGAGCCGTAATTGCATGTCACCAATGATAAATCCGTCTCCATTCGAAGAAATTCTTGATCCACGCACTCGACGATGCTGACAGGACCGTTTCACGGCGAGGCGAGAAAGGATACGTAGGGACGTGGATAAATCATGGTGTTTCGTGAACAGGAGACGCCGAAATGGAAAGGAAATCATACCTTCCGAACTCGTAACTTTCCCAAGAACATATCATTCATGCAAAACTGATTTGAATTATCAATTATGTAATCAACCAAAAGACTCGTGATATATATAAATATGAAATGTGAATTAATACTCAATAGTTTCATTAACTAATCCATTTATCTATAAATACAAATGTTAACAACATTTTATTCAGATATTCATATATAATTTGTTAGAGTTCTCACTACATTACATACACCTTTTAAAATTGTACAATTTAAATTAGTTAAATTTTCATTATGCATTAAAATATCAAGAATGTAAAACAAAATAAAAAAAAATGAAAAAAGGAGATTACATTTGAAGACGAGCATAGCTTCGTTCGAAGTTTCTCCATACGTGATTCATCTTCCGGTTTGATTCAGCCCCCGGAAGTTCTCCACGATTGGTAATGTCGATCAATTTCATTGTCGAATCTACGGGCTGGGCTGCCTTTGTCGAACGTTAAAGTCAAGATACAAGTAACTCCCGTGACTGATAAGACAACTTTTTCAAATTGGATTTCCTTCAAAGTCCTGAATGGGACTAGTGTGCGTCGCTGGAAACGTTGACCCGTTATATAAGGAGCTGTCATCGTGAATGCAAACATCCATTCCGTCCGTTCATTCGTTTCCCCGCGGAGATGAAATGCTACGTTCGCGTTCTCGCTATCCTCGGCCCGCAGCTGTCGGTTTTTGCGGATACGTCCTAACTTTATGACGGGGAAGTTATCAGAACGCACGAAGAGCCTGTCTCGCGTCTTGTAAGAGAATCGGAAGAGGATTTGAGATTTGCTGATGTGAGCGGAATTGAACTTGTTTGTAATGACAACCGTTGGTTTTACAGTAAAGCGATTGTATTAGATGTTTCCTTAAAAACCACTTTTTCAGTTTGAAAAAAAATTAACTGTACCTAATCGTGATAGTTACAAATATTGTTAACATGTTTCATAGAAGTACGAATAATTAGATTAATTCATTTTTCATGTTTCCACATAATGGAATTCTCAAATATATATTATATTACATTTCACTTTTTTAATATCAATACTTGAAACAGAACTCATTGTGAATCATCTTTTGGCAATCCACTATTTGTTTGATGGAACAGTTTTTGTGAAATGCTCGACAGAAGTTGAAACTGCGAAGAGACAGAAGACGTGGAAACAATCGAGATACTCGAAGAAAAGGCGAAACGAGATTTATAAGTTCAAGTTGAAACTACCGCGGAACGAGTTTGCGCAACTTTTGATCCTCGAATGAATATCGCAAAGTTAGATTACCGAGTTCAAGAGTTTAGCGTGATGAAAAAATTCATACATACATCTAATTTGTAATGTTGCAATTAATTCACTTCTAATTCTACTCTTCTTTCCCGAAGATAATAGCAAAAGAATATTGCAGCATCTTGAAATTTTGTGCAATGGATTACATAATAAAATGTTACAAATTTACATGATGGATAGATGGAAAACTATATAATAAATGTAGCAAAGTTACATAATAAAATGTTTATAAAATTGTACTATTCCTCCCCTAAAGTATTGATTCTCTACATCATTTGTTATATAATTATTACAAAGTTATATTTAATCTCGGAAAATCGTAAATTTTCAAACAAGGATCTTTGACGCAATTCACCTATCTCAATTCATCCCAATTTTACGTCTTATTTATATTGATTACATTTCGAGTCCTTGTATAGTTTTAAGATTTATGAAACGCGTGTTGCAAACGAATTAACGTCCTGTCGGTTTCCATCAGCAACATTTAACTTTAGCCAACACGTTTTCACGGCAGGTAATCAGAATCCTATGATATACGTTTTAATAATTGGCGTGGCAAGAAATTTAGCACGAGGAGCAAGAAATAAATCCGGTTCTTATCCGTTTCCTGGCCATTCGACAGGTCTTAGGAGCAACCCCCTACCAACAGTTTCTTGTAGTATAGAATAGGGGAAGAAGTGGAACACTTACCCGGATAAAGGAACAGCCTGGATCCGATGACAGCTAACGGTCGTCGTTTCCACTGAGGAAAAACCAACCCTTTTAGTACCAGCGCGTACCCGCAACGGCTGTAACCCGTTAGTTCTGGTAATGGGGATGCGGGTCCTGAAACAAGCAAGCAGAAATTTACTTAGGATGTTTTTATTGGAATTTTAATAGTGAACATATATGTTAGTCGTAAATTATTGGAAAGGAACAGCTCTTGCGGAAATGGTATCATGTTTGAATTTAACGTTTTGTTAAACTTAATATGACAATATAAAATATTTTGGAATTTATTGACGGAGACCTCACTTCATTTGAATGTTTTTAATTTCAATTCGAAATGAGATTTACGAAATATAATAAAAACCCGCTTTTGGAAATTTTACGTGTAATGAAATAAATTCATTTATAACGAGAATTCAGTAATTGGTATAAAATTAAACTGGAACGTCCGTTATTGACTTTATCAAATCAGAATTCCAAACAAAAAGAAAATGTATTAAATTCCTGTTTAACTAAATTGAAAGCCACATTCCGCTTAATACCATCACTAGTTTAATTATAAAAAAATCAAGCAAATTGCAGTACCCATGCAAAGAGCTTTAATTAAAAACAATATTGCTCTCGACCAATTTTAATAAGATGTAATTTGAAATGAAACATGCGATATTGTATTCCTTTTCGTTTCTATAAATTGTAAATATAGTATATTTTTGATATCAAAATGTAATTGATAACCATTGGCATCTTTAATTCTCGTTTATTGAGCACTTCAAAACAAACAAACAAAAGTTGAATAATACCAATTTCTCGCTGAAAGATTTCCGAAGGGAAAGCGAATAGGATGAGTTGCACTACGGAAACACGGAGATTCGAAATTCATGAAATTGTACTTTTTTACTGAGCATAGAGCAATATTGTGCATGCTGAAATTTTTCCAAGTATGTACAAGGGCGAATGTATTACAAAGACGGCAATGCGGTGAAAATTATAATAGGTGGAACAAAAATTGATTCTACGGGATTCCGGCAACTGTAATATGTTCTCGTTGTATTTATTGTAAAAATTATGACAAGACGCAATAATTAGACCACTTTATGAAACCAACCATTGTGGAAGAAAATTCGTCTATACATACATAGATAAACTGATTCGTACCTAAGCATGATCCCTACTTGATAAAAAAAAATGGAGGCTTGGACGTAATCCTCTTATTCATGATTTTTGTTCTATTTTGGCTTTTAGAATCGATTCTTAAAAATTTTTCCACCAGTAAGTATATTCCCCACCTTGTATATACACATATATATTTTATTGAATATTTGTTTGATTTGAAAATCTATTCTTAAAAATATGCACTGATCTCCTTTTTTACATCTTGCACATCGTAGCGCATTATTTTAATAAATATGAAAAGTGCAACAAAATGATATGTAAGTCTGTTTAAAAAACGGAATGGACATCCACGTCCATAGGATTATTGTTATCATCTAATACAATCACTAGAATGCCGTGGAATTCCTTACGGATTCCAGCAAGTTGAATGCCTGAACCGAATCTCATGGAGGAGACGAAGGCCAAACATTCCATGAATCCGCGCGTTTACCAGATGAACTAGTATCGCGTGTATCCACCGGCATACTAAACGAAAATCCATCGAATAAATATTGACGTTCACGCGGCTCCTGATGCGGCTTCCTGTTTGCCCGACGATTAACAGAGCCTTGGCTATCGCGAACCGGTTGCATAAATTATAATCAATCGTCTATTCACGCTCTCATATCCACGTGAATTTGCCATGCGAATCAATAACGTAATAATCCAACCATCTTTTTTTAGAATCGATTGTTGTAAGTAATAAATCCATTTATCAATAGGAATAATTCCATTGTACAATTTAATGCAATAATAAATATAGTTTTTAATAATTCGATGAAAAAACGAGTTTTCTTATGTACGTCATACTTACTTCTTTTCTGAAAGTTCGACAGACTTTCAACGTACTATTCGCTGCAACTTTGCTGGAAGTGTCAATTAAATCGCCAAAGATACTAGTCAGAACCGAACTTTGTACTATCGATAAACTTAACTAGGTACGAGCACTTTCGTTCGTAAGTCAGGTAGGTAAGAAAAAGTACAGTCGAACAAGATGTGGAAATAATAGATTTTGCGATTGTGATTGTAAGAAATTAAAATTTCTTTTTTCGAGACTGTCTAATAAAATCAAGTGATTTAATATTTAATAATTCTTATTGATATTGATAAAGTGTGGCTTGGTTTTCAAAATGAATTTAACAAGTACTCCAGCTTACGTATTGCACATTCACTACAGATGTTTTCAGATGCGCATGCAAATTTCAAAGTCTAAATTCGCATTTATGAAGGAGAGTGTGTAAGTTCTCGTAGCTGGCACATGAAAACGGGTTTTCAGGCCTGTCGTAATTTTCGAAATGGACCGTGCACTTTCTACCTATAGTATACATGTACGTATCACGTTAGCTCTGGCCCTAAACTTCCCACCGTACCGAGTTCCATTTGTCATCGCGCAGCCCCCATCCCCGTCTACATTCGCACCCGTTCCGTCGTGAACTTTCGGCACTCGAAATTTTGCCAACGAATTAGTTTCAAAACGCTCAGAGCTACCTCGAAACTTCTGCGTCTAAATATTTATGCCGCTCGTTAATTACTTTGCACAGACGTGAAACACCGTGCCACGCTACTCGCGCATAACTGCCTGTTAATGTTTCAATCATACCTGAAACGCCTTAATCTTATTTTCAGCAGATCATTTTATATTCGACGCAAATACGATAATATTGCATCCTGTCATGTGAATTTACAATATACACGACTAAATAAAGTATTGATTATTAATTCGTTTTAAAGTTCAATGGATAATGCAATGCTGAATTATATTTATTTGTATCAGGAGGTGTATTATACAATTTGATGCATCAAAAAATTTCATTGATAGACTATGGAACTATGGACGGAGAATGAGCTTCCATATTAATTTTTGGTAAAAAATTGGAACTACCAATTTAACGTTAATTGGTTTCTTTGTTGAACATCATCACATTATAGTGCGGTTAGTTTCCATAGTCACGGACCGCAAATGCGGAGGTTCACGCGTGCCTCGCCAATTATAACATTATTGCCGCTATTAATGATCAATTTCATGGCCTCCATGCCGCTGCCACTTCCACCCGTAAACTCCAAGTGCATTACGTCAACTCGTGTTATACAATTTGCCGATACTAATTAAGTTAAGACGTTATAGGTTCGCGCGCAACCGCGATATCTGCTTCCTTCCAGTTCCTCAGAGTGTTCCCTCTCCCTCGCCGTTCTTTCTATTTTTTCCACTCTCTGAAAGCCCTTAGAAAGCTTTGGGAAACGCCTTGTCGCGTCGTATTCCCGTAGAAAGTTGCGCTTAGACCGGTGGACAAGTTTTGAGACTTCGATGGACTGGCTGAAAGCTTCGAGATTTCTTCGAATACCGTTCCCACTAATGTTTTTTGCGGTTAAAAAATGTAAAATACACGTTCTATTGTAAGACAGTAACACTTTTGTACAAGGGTAAATGAATATTTGATTCTTTTAATGCAAAGAATAGTTTGAATTATTTTTATTCTTTAATCAATAATTAAATATTTATTATATATTAGAATTTTCTATTTGAATTATTTTTATGAATATGTAATTCTACTACTTTAAGTTTAAAGAAGTATTCTATTAGAGTAAGGGCATGTCCTTGTCTATCAAAAAACCGTTAGCTTTCACTCTCATAATTAAATAATCATCTAATTTGACAAGTGAAACTATCAGCAAGAGTTTCTGACGTTTGCGTAAAACTAAAGTATGATATTTCTGTGAAGAAATGACACACACACACACACACAACTCAATATGATTTTTAAAATAAACATAGCGCTGCCCGAAGCGTGTGAGTATTGAACAATTCATATAAAAATTGTGATTCGAATTAAGTATCATCAGAAGTATCATTTCATTACTGAGGTAGAACTGACGTTGCCAAATCAAACGTCGCGCGTGAGGAATGAAAAAAAGAGACTCTCATGTTTCAGAAAGCGTACGTCGCGTTAAATTAAGTAGAAAAATCTAGTTGAACTGGCGAGAAAAAAGTGATAAATAAAATTGTGTTTACGACGAATCGCCGTAACACCGCGTCATACAGCATTCATTGCCTAAAACTAAAATAACATATTTTCAACGTGAAAAATGTAAAATAGGAACGTTGTCGCATAGCTCGTTGGAAAAATAAATTCCACGCATAGCGGACGTGATTACGGCCGCGAAACGGAAGAACGAATTTTATTACTAAACGCGTGACGTGATTTTTTAGCCGGATCGCGGGTTTTAACGCATTCATGCTAAATTTAAATATGACATAAAAATTCTATTGAGCTTCCATTTCGTTTTTCACTGAAACTTTGCATGCAAGTATAATAAAACTATAGACTATTAATTCTGTGTACGAAATATCTAGGTCGACTGTCGCAAAGTGAATGAATTCTATGAACTTGTACAAGACAAGCGTTCAATAGTTTTATTCGTTTTCAATCTTCGAATAAGTGGAATCGGATTTCGATACAATGGGAATGAAGTTAACTTTTCAATTTGTTAATGCTGTTTGCAGAGGCTATAGTAAACGGTGATAATGAGTGTGAATATACATTTGCCTGCACGGTTTGAAACTGTTCTTAAAGGCATTAGCGGGTAGGTATAATGGGTGCACTGAATGCCTGGTATCGGGAGACTGTTTCGGATGAACATTTAAAGAGATAATACCTACTACTGTACTCGGAGAAAGTGGAATAACTCTGAGAGTACACCACCCTGCAATTGTTTTGGTCTATTATATGTAGCATTATCAATTGAAAATTTAAAGCATGAAACAATTTTAGATTAGTTAATTAATAATGAAATTGAATTAAATGAATCTCGCTTGGATTCCATTAGTTATTTCATTGACCTATCCGAATTTCGCGTGTACAATGCTTCCAATTTCGATCAGCGATACGGTAATCGTATCCATGTAATGGGAGTCGATCTTTAGGTTTGATGCAAAACAATGTTATGCCGATAACAATGCTTCTCTCGTTGTTTGACGTGTTTCGTGTTTCCACTGACATGAGTTTGATAGGCTACGGAACAATTGACAGTATGCATGAATATTACCATAGGCTACATCGCTGCGAGCATCTACCAATAGTACCAATATTGACTACTTCCGTAATACAAAATTGAATTACGTTGTGGTTATTGGCAATTTGCAATCTGATATTCAGGTTCACTCATTATATACGACGCACATCCAATCTCAAGGAAGTAATGCAATTTTTTGTTTGCCGAAATGATAGGATATGTGTCGATTTTTACAATTTGTTAGGTAATAATTTCTGTTGAAAGATTTGAGTTTATTAATTAAATTACATTGATAGTATTTCATTATTTACAGAGGATGAGGTTAATTATTTGTAAAGAAGGAACCACCGTTCTTTATTAGAATAGAAAGTAATTAAACGAGGGAAATTGCTTTCGCCTTAAAGCAAATTCATGGAACAAAAAAGTAACCCGTATTAATTTGAAAGTGCCGGCGCGACGGGATTAAATACATTTCTTGTATTTACCACTTTGTGAGCTACGATTTATCTTTATTATTTCAATTTCAAACATCGTGTACAACCTCGAATCATCGTTCATTCTAACTTCGTATAGCTAGGAAATCAAAAGGATGTACGGCGTGCAGAATGTACGACATTGCAATATTTTTAAGCTGAGAAATATTAATTATACTTACATGTTAATTAAATATATTTTGACTGTGTCTCAAACTTCAAGTTCGCATTTGGTTAACAATTTTATAAAAGGAGGACCATTAAAATCTTTTCTTATTTCATTTATTACATGGCATCCAGTTGTAATAATACAAAAACTTTTATTAATGTACGTCAATGTTATTTGAAATACTTGCGTCAATTTTGCTATGGCAGTTATCAACCCTTTCATTCTATCGCAATTTGCTTGTGACACGGTACATTAATGGTGAAGGTTGCTACAACCTTCGACTACCCTTAAAACAATAAATTCATTTAGGGACTCGCGTAGCCTCGACGACGCGACGCGACGCAACGGTAGCGCGCATGTTTAACCATAATAACCACTAACGACTGAGAGTTTCCACGATGAAACTTCTACGAACGAGGCGTTCTCCTTGCGCCCTGGAAAACGACCAGACTAGCTGGCCAAGCCGAAACGCTAAATGCCGATTACAGGTTGGGCGCTGGGCAATGTTTCAGAATTTCTCTTTGTGAAAGTTTCCACAATCTATAGATCCAGCGACCCGTGCTAATCCCATGACAATTTCATCCCAAGTCTTGAAACATTCTATTTAACTCCCTGTTTCTCACTGCCTTAATCAACTCTTGTAGAGCGAGCAATCTATCTGTTGAAGACAGAATAGAATATTAACTTTTTATTAAAATTTATGTGAAAGATTGTTTCATGTAATTAATGTTATAACATATCTTTTTAATGCAAAGAATTATTCAAGGTTGAGTAAATGTTCGTTCTTCAAATAGTACTAAGAATTGCAACTATTTCATCATCATTTTCACTGAAATTCATGATTTATTTATTTGACTCTAGTATGCGCCATTCAAATGTCCCACAATGATATCTAAACATAAATCCTATAGAAATTATCCTATTCGCTGCAATGTTTTTATCTTCCAGATCTCTTCACGAGTCACGTAACTTTATCCTCTGTAATATTTTCATAAAAGCAGCCTTGAAAGCAGCTGTGACATTAAGTATACTTTCAGACATTTTAGACCCTGTCATTTTTCTTTAGTATCCATAACACTTTTCTACCTTTTTATTACCTTGAATAATGTTTGGTAACATTTCTCCAACTCCCTCGACTATTATTATGTATGTATGTCTTGAAAAATGTAAACTCTTCTAATTATTTCTCGCACGAAAGGACAATAAATAACGAGTGCATCAAAGATTATCAACTGTTATCCATCAAATGTAGCAATAAAAACAAGATATTGTAATAAAACAAATAACAGAAACGAAAACAAAAAGATGTCTTGAAGTTGAAAGGAACTTCCAAATTTCGTTTACATTCTCGTCTAATTGTATGACTTTTCTTTTCTTATCACTAACTTTATGCGGCTTTTAATACTCGACTCGAACGTTGTAAGTGGTGGCTCGCCATTAGAGCAGCAATTAAGGTAAAAAACTTAGCAAAAGCCAAGTTTTATACTTAGAAACAACTCGCGCTCGGAAATGTGAGATTTAATTTGTTTTTTAGAACGAGGTACTATCGGCCAGCTAACAAACTGCCTAATTTCTCAATCACAGCCTATTGCTTAAACAAATTCCAATTTACTGTCATTCAGTTTTATGATTACCCAACAAATTCTATGCCGTATTTAAAAACGAAATTGGGTGCGAGCAAAGAGCTACCTAAGGTTGTTACACAACAAGCCGGGAACACACCGTGTGACAGCAGCCAGCAACGGGCGACGCTGCGCTGATGCAAACTTATCGAGAACAATGCACATCCGACTTCCGGTTTGACGGGTATTCACTGTTACCTAGGAATTCGGTCGCGTTAAGCTGTGTGGTTAGTTGATCGACTGATTAACGCTCACACGGGTACGCGTTTTCACGAGCTACCCAGGTTAAATAATTAGTGATAAAACTGTGAATCTTTGTTTGATTCATAAATACCTTTAAATGCAGTCCAATTTATACAATGAATCCTCTCATGGATATATTGACGAATGGTACGGATCAGACTAATTGATTCAATTAATTACCCGGCAGAATTTACTGAACCTTTTGTATAATGTATTTGTCACATTTTCCTATGTGTATGAATAATTAGCGCGATTAATGTATGCAATTGCTTGATTGATATACATACCATACTGTACTCCTATCTAATTAGCGTTCATTACAGAAAACATTGAATACGATCCGTATTAAATAACTCGTACTATATTTTATTTAATATAATTCTACTTCAGTAAGCAACTTATCCAATTAATAATATACCAATATTCATACATAATTAAAGGAAAAGGAACATAATTTTTTTTGTTTAAGCTGGACATTGCACAACAGATGCTCGCATTTTATGATCAGAAGATTGGTGCGTTACAACGCATTACGCATGAAGGAATCTCGAATGTAACGAGGAACAATTTAAACTAGAGCGCGTATTCTCGATAACGTCAGCGCACAATGCGAACTCGAATAATTCTGGTACTCACCCACGTGGAAAGCGATGAGGTGTCGTAATTCAGGATCGACGCCGAGCCGAGACCGTCTCGACGTGTCCTGGTAGCCAAGCTTCTGAAGAAATTGGTCCTGTATCTCGAGCGGTTTCTCCTGCGAGGCCAGCCTTCTTCCGGACTCGCCTCCGTACTGAAAAACGACCGTAATTTCTTACTGGATCTCATTATCATCATCTGACGCCGCGTCCGATCTTCCTTACATAAAAAAGGATTCGCATTATCACATAATAAACTGGAATTCATAAAATGGATGCCCATCTGTGTGAAAATAATATATGTACGAAATACTTCATACTTTTTAAGGCAACATTTCCATTATATGAGCGGAAATTCATCTTCCAACATGTAAAATATTTCACATAATACATGAAAAATTCGTTATATAATCACACGTGTGAGGTTTTGCTAGAACAAAAAGAATTAACGAAAAACTAAAGAATGAAGTTGTTGGATTTCAGTTTTTTCTTGTACATCGTTCCGTCACGAACTGACGCGACCGACTTTTTTTTCATGTGTTTCCACGTAAATCTCACTAACTTAATTAAGCCGGAGCGGGACTGGCCGCGTTCCATCTTAATTTCGACAACGAGGCCTGCGAGACCATTCGAGAGGATTCATGATATATGTAGCCGTGAATTTTATGGCTTTTGGTGTTTCCCTTTCATCTTCGTTAATTAGAAAATATTAGATCTGAGCGGATGTTCTTTTATCCCTAAATACGAAAATACCCTTTATGAATGTTATTTATTTTTATAATTATTTCTATAACGTGTCATTTTAATCAATCGCTATTTAATTAGAAGTCATTTAATAAAAAAAGTGTGGACATTAAAATGGACTTCGCTAATCGGAAGCATAGTTTAATACATGAGAAGGATGAAACAACTTAATTATGTTCTAGAGAGCGGACAGGCGTGTGTACATAAATGGCGTCCACAGAGACAGAAAGCTACAATACTCTCGAGATTATTTCCTCTCGCCTAAGTTCCGTGATTCCACGCAACTCCGTACAGACACGCTCTATCCTATTCAGGGTGATTCAACAAAGAGTCAACCAATTTTACGGAAATTGCATATAAAATAGTCTCAAATAGTTCTATGCCCTGAGGAAAAATGTAGTTCCACAATATAAATTATTTTCTTGTCAATGCAAATTAAAACCAATAAACAGTCTTGTCATTCCAATCGCGATACTTTTTATTATTATAACGTTTCCACAGTACGCCAACCACAGTAAGCTTCGAAGAAGTTCGATTCGAGTTTTAACTGTAACCACAATGTATTTTAATTAATTAGTAATTTATTCTATCAAATAAAACCGCACGCAAACAACATTTTTATAGAGGCATCGTAATTTACCGATAGCTAAACGAAAATTTCGTTTAAATCGCAAAACACGTTCTAGCGTAAATTTTATGAAATTTTTTTAAAGCGAATGCATATTTAATTTCAAATTAACGAAAGTGGGTTTGTGAGTTGTTTGTTTAAAATTTGGGGCCATGTTCTACGTAAACGAGTAGATCCATCAACCATTGCATTCGTCGGACCTCTTCGCTCCATTATAATTTCTATGTCACTTACATTGTTATTAACAGATTATGAAAAGCATTACTGGAGTTCACTACAGTAGAAAATGGAGTGATGTATTGTAAAAATGGTACACAATCAGTTCTGATTAATAAATGAACGAAGACGAATCTTGGCACTTTTATTTCACGACTCTTGACAAATGATCAATCCTGAAGGTGGATGATTCAAATAAGATGACATCACTTTTTAAATCACCCAAATATTCCTGCACGATTATCGATAAATAAAGGAGAAGCAGTCGTCTAAACAACAATCGTAAAGTCGTGCTTTTTTTAATCAAAAGGTTTTAATTTGCAATAACTTTATTGTCTTATTAAAGTGCAAAAATTAAACTAACTTTGAAATCAAATCAAATCTTGTTAAGTCTTTTGCTAAATTATATTGGAGTATACATAGAAGCGTCCGAAGATTTATGAATAAGAGCATGTATAAATTCGAATCCAAATTCCCTTGGAACTTCACGATGGAAGCGAAGCTCCATTTCCTAAACGCCTCATCTACAAAAACAGATACCGGCGATACCGCTACCAAGCGATCGATTCAAAGTAAGGCAGGAGTGAACTATTCTATCAGACGGTGGCTGATCAATCGATTCGATTCAACCGAACGTTCTTTCTGTCAGCCCGAAAACGCATCGCCTTCAAGAAGGGAAGGGATCAACCTGCTCCGAAACCATCTTCAACCGTGCCGTGCGAACGAAAACAAATGGGAGGTACTTGTCTCTCGAATTTCCCTTTTGTAGTATTCTCAGCAGCTTTTTCCCTCACAAATTTTCTGATCAACACTAAATACATTGAGGTGAACAAAGCAAAACGATGTCGTTTCTTTAAGCAAGCTTTTAAATTAATTTGTTTACGAGGTACTTTAATCAATCAGGTGACTGAGAATCTCGATTTCAGATTCCATTTTTCCTCTGCACCTGTTACATTTTTTGTTTTTCGTTATACAAACTAAGAATACTGATCTCCAGCGAAAATCGTTTCGAAACTGAGATTTTAAGTGGTCCTGGATGGATCTGAAGGAATCCGAAAAATACCGAAAAAATTGAGAATTTTTTTGTCAAAATTTCGAAAAATGCTTCAAATAAAAGTTGTTTTTCTTCTAATTTCGATATTTAACGAGTTAACTATGATTAAGCTGCATTTTATTGATTTTGACAAAATCCGACCATCCCACCGTCGAAACAGCCAACTTTTGACAAAAAATTTCGTTTTTCCTCAATAACTCCTAAACCGTTGGACTTACAAGAAAATTGCATACGACCTTTCTTGTAGAGGACGACGAGATCTACAATTCCTATATAAAAGTTTTTCGCTAGCGTCAATAGTTTACGAGTTATTGACGAAAAACGAAAAAACAGTTTTTTGCAAATTACTCGTAAACTATTGACGCTAGCGAAAAACTTTTATATAGGAATTGTAGATCTCGTCGTCCTCTACAAGAAAGGTCGTATGCAATTTTCTTGTAAGTCCAACGGTTTAGGAG